CTTTCGTTCAAAGGAATTATTTAATATAATGTGGGCACTAGTTTTTGATTAAAGTTTTAAAACATTCACCTTGATCATCTGGACGGTATTTGGCGATGAATCGCACCGGCTGCGACAATTTGTGTTGTAATACCGCAAAGCATTTAGTCATTTGCTAACATGGCTGATTGTGACCTGGGGGGAATTTTTGACAGACGGGTTCCCCAGTTCCAATTGTTTTTTTAGCGAAGTTTTCTCTTGTAGACCTTGATAAACCGAGGTCTAATTGCGAGACAGCAGTGTCATTGGCGGTCTTTTTTCTTTAAAGGGACGGGTCGCTTTTGTCTTGTCATGCGAACTATCATTTGGCACTTTGACTTTTTTCTGAGGAACAAACTTGTCGAGTTCCAACCCAGCCATGCCCTGGTGTTCTTACCGCCGCTGACTTCCTGGTTTATATCTGAAGGTCCTTCGCTTATCCGTACCCTGGGAGCGCATCGAATGACCAGCAATCTTTTTCAAAATATCACTGTTTAAATTGGGTTTTTAATTATTTACATAGTTTAGTTGGGATTTAGGGTGTATGCGACTACTTTAAATCCGGAACAAGATCCGCAACGCAAGGTGTCGAACTACCTGTGGGTATGAACAGTATCTCCTAGTTGTCCTCCTACTCTTTTGGAAGACGAACTCTGTTTTTGTGCAAGGACCAAGACTCTTTCTGGTCTATTTTTGAATGATTTTTGTATAGTTCTAGAACGCAGGAATGGGTTTGTAATGAGAGATGTTCAAACCGTATGCATTTATTCACAATTTAATTATGTAATAGAGGAAACTATATCGAATCGATCTTTTAGATTTCTTCTTGCTGGTGATCTTGCTTTTTGCCCTTCCTCCTTGACTGCTTTCAAAATCTGTCTTTTTCGTCAGTTTGCTTTCGTGCAGGCGGTGCGTCTTGCATCTTACTGTGTGATCTATTTAGCCACGGCAGACCCTGCTTCGTTGAGACAAGCTTCGAGTTCAATGTTCATTGATCCTATTCTTCAGATTTTTAGCCGTTTCTTCATTCCGTTTCTTACCACACGAACAGTTTATCCGATATATCTCCATACCAGCATCCTCTTATTTTTTACGGGTTGTCTTTAGCAGTTTTTCTGATTATATCGATATACAGATTAGTAGGAATGAAATCAGTTTAGACGCTATTAACGGTCCTACGTTTCAGGCAACAGTGACACTGTTCCCATTAAGGCTCTCAATTAATGGAAGCAGTAATAGCTTTTACATCCGATCCTCACATGTCGCTTTTTTAACAGTTAGTTTTCGATGGCAGCCATTAAATCAAATAAGTATTGGAATTCTTAAGAAATATTCTTAGCACTTAAATTATTCGACTGACAATGGAAAATCCACCATGTCTTCAATGGCGCTTGCTGTTACCATGATACAAGTAAAATTCCTACCTATGTTGTTATTCTTCAGGTGTACGGTGCTATTCTTGAAGAGGATTGTGACCAGTTAGTCGAAAAGTTGTCTGTAACAATATTTAACGTCATTGAAAGCTATAGCTGATTAATTGTTATTGTTAAATATGCATCATTGAAACTTTCGAAACTTGTTGAGTGACAGCTAATCGAGATATGGGAGTGTTATGTTAGTCCTCCTCTCACAAGAGACCAAATAATGAGCAATGGTAATAATGGGGTCCTGTATTTGGTGAGGCTTGTGATTATATCTTAGCGATGCTGTTGACAACTATTATGTCCAGAAATATTCACCTTGGCCAGAGTACGTTAAAGCCATGCCGAAGTCTTTCCAGTCCTGACTTACAGGAATGCTATAAAAATGTCATTGAAATTGCAACGTTCTAGCATTTAATGGTATTCGAAGTGATGAAGCTCTTTGAAGAAGTGTTGGAAAATGCTTGTCTTGGAAAAAGCTTCCAGTAGTCAAGATAATCTGATGTGGTTAGCTTCATATTTCGATATTGCTATATTTGATACAAAATTTTCAGCGGATTTTCTAATGTTTGTCAAACTGAAAAGTCTTATCCTTTACTAAATTTTTCGTCAGCTTCAAGGCGAAATTATTTTTAAGGTTGATTTTAAGACCAAAACGGTGAAAGAATGCACAAAGCAGCCAGAAATTTTTTTTGAGGATTATGTATGATTGCAGCTTACAAATTGCACTTGTAAAAAGCGCCGGGATTAAAATACTTTCCTAAAAGTCGGAAGCGGTGTTAATAGCAGCTGTTTTTCAAGATCTGTCGTTAAATTCTCTTAAGCGCTACTACTTAAAGTGAATAGTCGTTTTTCAAAAAATGTTTTCGTGGAAAATGGATTTTGAATGTAGTTAATAACGGTCTGAGTGTCAGTTGTTTGTCTGCTGAGAAGTGATTGTTGTTGCTATTAAAGTGCAAAATTGACTGATCGAAAATCCGTAGAGTCTCAGATTTCGGCCGATTTAATGTTGTGGAATGTTAGAACACATGAAATGTAACTAGTTGCTCTAGTAAAATTTTTGTGCAAGTTTTTTATTAATGACAATGCTTATGGGCCTGTCTGATAATGGGCTATACGTTTAATTGATTGTATTTCATAAAGATCAGGAGCAGGCTTTTGTTAAGACCATTCGGCTGAAACAGGCAAGAGGTTCATATGGAATAAGCGGAGTTATCTGAAACTGCCGAAATGTGAACAAAGCTTCACTTTTTGACATGAATATTTTTTTTAAAAACTCAAAAAGTTGTTACAAATAACTTGGTAATAGTGCATATGATTTTTTTAAAATGAAACTGCTTGTTATGACGCAGTGGCTTAGCCAGCGAGTCCAAACCACAAGTCCTGTATCTTTGCGACTCGCTTCTCGGACAGGTTATAGCTGAGCATTTATTGGCATATAGCCCCAGTTCATTGTCACTGACGTGGCACCTAGTAACTTGTTGAAGTGGCTCCGCGTTTTCATAGGCACTTGGTTTACTTCGTCTTTGTTAGTCAGGC